GAATCCTACGTTAAGTCCAGCACAGAGGTACCCAGGGTGGTACAGTCATTAGGATTCAAGGCCAGAAAAGGGCAGCCCTCAGAGAAGTTTGAGGGACTATGCTGGCACTGTAACAAACCTGGGCACAAGAGATCTCAATGCTGGCAACTTCAACACAGGGAAGATGCCAAGGCAGGAAAGGCTACTACCCAGAAAGTGTTGGAACTTTGGAGAGCAAGGACATGTGAAGAGCCAGTGTAAGAAGAATACTACCGTGAAAGTTTCAACAGCTAAGAGTAAAATGGCAAGTACACATAGTGTCTACATGACAGGAAAGCTGGATGGCTAACAGTGCAACTTTGTCATCGATTCTGCATCTCAGCAAACCCTTGTGAGTATCAAGGTGCTAGATCACAAAAGAGTACCAAAGGCCATACAGAAACTCTGTGGTGTGATAGGACATTATGAAAGGTTGTGGAGACCAGTGTGGGTAACTATTGAGCTCATGGGCATAAAGGACAGACACAAAATATACTTGGCTGACATCGAAGACCCATACATATTAGAGTTGGACTACTTACTACCGAGGAAGTGTGTAGTTAACTTTGATAAAATGACGTTTGGGAACAACAAAGGTCAAATTCCGGTAAGTGTTAAAAGAGAGGTTGAACTAACCAGGTGCCATCAAGCTGAAGTCAAAGTGACTGAAGGAGTTGACGATGGTGAAATGGAACCAAGTAGAGATATTAAAGCAAAACAGGGGAAAGACAAGGATTTGAAACCAATAATTGATATTCTATAAGCAAGTGTTTTGCACCCTGCTTGGGTGTCTAGCTTAAGCCCTGTGACAAAGAACTATTGGGCACAATGGGACCAGTGGAAGCTTGAAGATGATATTCTTCTTTGGAGATGAGAAACTGCAGAAGGGAAAGTGACGACCTGGCAAACAGTTATACCGAGAAAGTTACGGGAAGTTGTGCTGCATCAATCCCATGATAGTTTAACAGGAGGACATCTTGGAGTTAAGAACACATTGAGTCACCTATGGCAGAGATATTACTGGATAGGTATGAAGCAAAATGTGGAAGAATGGTGCAGGACCTGCAGTACATGTTGTGCTAAAATGGGACCCAAGCATAAGGGGCGTGCTCCAATAAAGTTATATCAAGTTGGTGCACCAATGGAAAGAGTAGCCATTGACATTGCTGGTCTGTTGCTACAAACTCGTGCTAGAAACAAGTACATTTGTGTGGTGATGAATTATTTCACCAAGTTTCTGAGGCATATGCAATACCAAATTCAGGAAGCTACAGCTGTAGCTTCGGGTAATAATTATTGATTTCTTCTTCTGGTTTGGTATGCCATACGAACTTCATTCCGATCAAGGCCGTAATTTTGAATCAGCCTTGTTCCATGAATGCTGCAAGTTGTTTGGCATGCGAAAGACTAGGACAATGCCACTTCACCCACAGTCTGGTGGGATGATAGAAAAGTACAATTGGACACTGGGGCAGGAATTGGCAAAGTTTTGTAATAGCTGCCAAGATGACTGGGATGTCTTACTCCCTCCACTGTTGATGGCCTATAGAACAGCAGAACATGAAGTCACTGGATACACTTCAGCAAAGCTGATGTTTGGTTAGGTTAGGTTAGGATAACAGGACGCCCACCTTATGAAGAGTTGCCTGAAAATGTGCCAGAGTTTGTGAAAGTGTTATCTGAAAGGATGGATGATATTCATCATCAAGTACATTCAAATTTAAAAATGTCCACTGATTTCATGAAGCTATGTTATGATAAGAAATCTACTGAAATCAACTTTGTACCAGGAGACAAGGTGTGGTTGTATAATCCCAGGAAGACCAAAGGGAAGTCTCCTAAGTTGTCTTCTCCATGGGAAGGCCCATATGACATAGTGGATCGTCTCTCAGACGTGACTTTCCGAATAAAATGTGGTCGGCGAGGTAAGCCAAAAGTGGTGCATGCCAACAGGCTTTGGCGTTATCGCAGTTCAGGACATTTCAGTTGAAACGAAATGAACAACAGAACAAATGACGCTGCTGAAGACGTGTCACTTGAAAAAGCCACTGTTGAAGAAGAAACTCTACCTGATTTTGAAAGGGAAAACAGTGAAGCTGTTAATGAAGTTACTACCACTGATGTGACTGCTACCGATAATGGGACATTTCGTGATGGAGCAGATTAACCCCACGTGAAGCAGAGGCCAATGAGATGGAGACCAGTATGAAAGAAGAAACGCCGTTGTAAAAATTAAGAGATTTTGTTGTATTTTAATTTTGTGTTTGTAAATTCTGTACATTTAATTGAATTATTGTTAATTATTTATTGGTTTAATACTGAGGAAGAGGCAGTGTTATGACTGCGGAAGTCACGTGACACTGCTGGCGCGTTTGGGGCTGGTAGCGTGCGTGAAATTTCTCGAATGATCGGGGAGGCCCGAGTGTATTCGAGACCCCCCCCCCCTTCGTTAGTATATAAGCCTGGCAGAAAAACCAGCGATATATAGATAATTAAAGAAGCGAACAGTAGTTACGGTTTTTCAGGGTAATATAAAGCGTGTGTTTTGCACTCGTAGAGAACAAA